CGGGGCCAGCACCGGAGGGGGCGGGGCTAGAGCGGAAGAAAGCCTGCATTAGGAGGCGCTTTGCTGCTTACCTCAAGCTCCTTTCTGGAGTCCTGTTTCGTTTTGTTTTGAAGCATAGCTTGAACACCTACCATCTATCACCTCCAAAGTGACTGTAAAACGCTGCTTTGGAGAATTCCCCAAAGGCGAAAGAAGCATCACCGCCCCAGCGTGGGGGACCCAAAGGGACCAACCGGAGTCTTTCAAGGATCCCAGGAAGTGGCTAGGGCAGGTGCTACTGGCCTCGCGTGCCCATCTGTTTTCAAACCTATAAGTGAGTCTGAGGCTCCAATTTGATGGGGGAGAAACTAGGACCCAAAGAAATGAATTTACTCGCTGGAGGTCCAGCAGAAAGTCAGATACCAGGCCCAGGGATCTACTGCCTCCAGGGGATCTACAATCCCCAGCTTCCCTCGGAGGACACACACTGTCTTCCCCCAATCCCTGCACATGCTAAGTACACGTGTGGGTGTGAAGGGCCCTAGTCGAGTCTGTTTCCAACGGCTGTGCATACAACACCACGCTCCCTTTTACGGCTGAGATCTGCCCACTTGTCCTCCACTGCCACTGCAGCCTCTGCTCCAGACCACCCATGTCCCCTTCCAGGACCGCGGCTCCTACCTCCTCATGGTCCCCTGTCCTCCTCCCACCAGCAGCTATAATTTGTTCCCTGTTGCCCAGGCCTCTCATCTGCTGCCTCAGCTGCCTCCCTAACTCTACCCTTCAAAAAAAAAAAATCATGATAACAAACACGCAACATAAAATTTACCTTTTAAAATTGCACAACTCAGTGGCATTGAGTATATTTGTGTGCTGTGTAACCATCACCGGTATGTAATCCAGAACATTTTCAGCACCCCAAAGGGAAAGTCTGTAGCCACTTCTCACTCTGCTGCCCTGTCCAGACCCAGCAGCCACCAAGCTGCTCTGAAACTCTGCATTTCCTTTTTTCATTTTGAGACATGGCCTTGCTATGTAGCCCGGACTGGTCTCAAACTTATGGTGATCCTCTCGCCTCAGCCACCATGACCAACTCTGCATATATTATGTAAATAAAACCATACCATGTGTGACCTTTTGACTCTGTCTTCTTCCATTTAGTATGAGGCTGTAAAGGTCCATCTGCATTGTTGCATGTGTCAGCACTTTACTCCTTTTCATAGCTGAGTAATATTCTACTGGGCAGACAGGCTGCATTCTGTTGAGGAAGTCACCTGTTGATCAGCATTCAGAATGACTCTGCCTTTTGACTGCTGTGAAGAGTGCCTCCCTGGACAGTTGTGGACACGTGCTGTGTGACCATCTGTTTTCAATTCTTTGGGGTATATACTTAGGAACGGGATTGCTGGGTCCTGTGGCAACTCTGTGTTTAGCTTGTGAAAGAACTGCCAAACTCTTTTCCACAGTGTCTATGCCGTTTTACCCTCCTACCAGCAGCAGTTCTGATTTTTCCATGTCCTTGCCAAGCAACCCTTGTTATTCTCTGCGTGTGCGCGCGCGTCTGTGTGTACTGCCATCTCAGCGGGTGTGCCTAGCTCCATCCTGTGATTCCCTCTGCCTTGTCCTTACTGCTCCAGCCGCCCATGTCCTCAAACAGGTCACTCTGTCTCAACAAGGACCTCTGGAGACGCAGTATCTCAGGCCTCCCCTCGTTCTCCTGGCCTCTGCTCCCGCTCCCCCCAAGGCTAGATCAGGTCCCCTCTAACATGCGACTGGGTCCCCTAGATGTCCGTGCATAGACGACATTAGGTCTGAGCTTTACACTTCTGGTGCAGGTCCTGATTAACATCTCTCTGCTTCCCTTGTCTGCATCCCTGCCACCGTCCTGCCTCTGTGCCGGCCGCTGCGTGTTCCCACCACTCTGCGTAGCGCGCCATAAATATTTGGTGAATGGATATACATACGGACGATGAATGAGATCCAAGTTTGGGCTGTCGTCCTTGTGAATGTTCCTTTTCTTGATTTTTTTTCATTGCCGGAGTGGTGGTAGCTATGAATAAGTCAGGAACTGAAAAACCCACTTGGTTGTCCATGGGGAATCGGGGACCAATGGGGTCCTGTCCCAGGGTCGCAGCTCACTAATGTTCCTCCTCGGAGCCGGGAGGAGCCTGGCCAATCCTGTCCAATCGGCCCGCAACGCTACGGAAAGCTTAGGAAGCTTGAAATATATTTGCTTGCTGTAAACATGACCTCAGCATGACATGATGATCCCCGCGTTTGCCAAACCATTAATTTTTATGTAATAACAACCACCACAACAAACTATATTTCCCCTCACAATTTCGAGTTGCTTGGAAGGTCAGGTCTGTGGGATTGTGTGAGACAAACACCTTAGAAACGAGTTCGCGGCCGTGACTGCTCTGTGTGTACTCTCAATTCCAAGGGGCTGGAAGGAAAAAGATTAAAAATTTCCACAGCTACTTTCTTCCAAGGGACTCCGAATGCTTAGTAGGATCTTAACCCGGAGAAATCTTTAGAGGTGGGACGTCACCGCGCCCTCGCCAGGAGGCCCGGAAGTAGGAAGAGACCTGGGGCCCCGCCCACTCTCTTTCTAGCCTCCGTGCTGTCCATTAGCCTGATTAGAACAATTGATTTATTCATTCTTAGTGGCTGAGAAAGCGGGGAGAACCACGATGCCATTTGTGTGATATAAATATCTCTGGAAAAAGCTGAAAAACACTGTGTCATACATATTTTCTTAATGCCACAGTCAATCACACGTGTCTGTCCGAGTCCAGAGTTCGTCACCCCGGGAGGCTGGTTCCAGAAGCCGCACCCCCCGCATGACAGCTTCTGCCACCTGCTCAAGACACAGCAGCTGCTTGCTCCCAAACACCGGCATATTTATGGCCTTGGGAGAACCTTCTAGAAATCTGAGAGAGGTGGCGTCCGTCGGGTAGGACTGTCCGTGGGCAGGGACGCGAGGGTGCTAAGGCTGCTGCTTACAGTGGCCACTTCCTCAAGGAGATCACAGAGATTGGATTTGGGCTGTGGCAAGGCTCTTGCCTAGCGCGCTCGAGGCCTTGGGTTTGGTCCCCAGGGAGAGAGTAAATAAGGGAGAAAGAAAGATAGCACTGCCTCAGTCTGTTTTCTCCCAATTCCAAGAAGGATTTGAATTTCAAGCTGGCTTTGTCCCTCTTCCCTACGCCCCCATCATCAAAAAAGCCTTTAATCCCAGTGATTTCTCTGATAGGAATTTTAGCCCAAGGAAATAATTAAAGACGAATAAAAAGATTTAGTTACAGGATGTTCCTTATACCGCGAAGATTGCGGTAAAGATTAAATATGACCTCTACATCCAACTAAGTGTAAGCAGCAGATAATGGAATTAATATAGTTCTTCTGTGAAAGTCCTACTCTGATTCAAAAGGAAAAAAAATGAGAAGGAAGTAAACCAAAATGGTCACAGCGTTTTTCTGTAAAAGTGAAAGTATGGATGATTTTGTTGGTTTGTTCTCTCTTTCTCTCTCTTACTTTTGGATGACCCATATGATCAAAACCAACTTAAATTAGAAATGCATGACATCCCTAAGCTGTCCATGTCAGAAATGAAACAAGAAGCCCTCCGAGATGGCAGCTTTATTGGAAGGTTGGACCCTAACCCACAGAACTGGGAGAAAAAGTTGATTTGTGGGTCCTGTGTTTTTTTTGAAAGCTATGAAAAGAGAGGTATGCTGGGTGTGACGGGCCCTTGGAAGCCACTCTAGATCCTTGAACAACAACAACAAAAAAAGACATGCCAATTCTGAGTCAGAACAGGAAGAGCCAGCCCAATAGTAAATGAGCTGGATCTGGTGGCCTTCGTGTGTCTTTGTAGGGGATAGCGTGACTTTTGTGGGATTGGGTCCCCCCGCAACCAATGTGGGGTCCAAGGTTCTAGAGAATTGTAGAGCTCTAGTTCTATAAGAAGTCTCAAGATAGCTCATCTTTAAAAGAATGATTACAGCCCAAAGAACTCCATTGTTCCGGTCTCTCACCAAGAGGGTAGACAGGGTGGTACTGGCAACCGCAGGTCCTTATTCCTAGCCCCAGCTCCCACCCATCTCTCTGTTGCCTGGCATCTCTAAGTTGTTGACCACATCTACCGCTTCAGGAGAGCCTAAAATGCTGGCCGACTTTCTGAAGTACCGCTTAACATTTCATTCATTCACTCACCTAACACTCATACTTGTCAGGAGACACTTGTGCTACGTGTTAGAGTAGGAATGGAATGGAGGGGAGAGGATGACGGGACATAGTAGGTGCTCAACAAATATTTGTGGGCAGGAGAGAGGAAGAGGGATTGAGAAAGAACAGTTCTCACCCTCAAATAGCCCAAAATCAGATCCCACAAACAACCACAACTGTTTATGGAGGGCCGAAGATGCTCTTTCATGGGACTAGGAAAGTCATGTTCTGCAGGCCCAGGCAGGACTCTTAACAGAAACAAACCTAAAAATAAACAAATAAAATAAAATAACAGTTGACTTCTAACTTCTTTTTTAAAAGGATTTAATTCAACTCATTTCATGAGCCTTTACAAGCCAGACTAGGTATTAAAACTTCTCTTTCCCCAGCGTTACACATTAAACTCAACATGGTCAGAGACCACTGTGGAAGGGAGGGACAGATATTGTGAGCTCCCCTGAACTACACGGATCTCTTTCTCCAACCCCAGCGCCGGGCTGTCTTTCCTCTGCATCCGGGCTCCGTGCTAAGATGCGGGAGGTGGAGGCCAAGCCGAGCCGGGCAGGTCGGTCACTGCCTCCCTGTGCCAGCCATTCCGGCTTCTCAGGCCGGGTCTCCTGGACGCTGCCAAGCGATGTGAACCCAGAGACCCTGGGAGAGTCTAGAGAGTCGGCCGAGTGTTTCCCAGAGCGCGCGTGGGGAAGGAAGGGGAAGACCCAGGGAAGAGTGGCCCGGTTCCCTCAGTCACGGCGGAGGGAGCGAGGAGAAAGTTCAGGCAGAGCCCCTCCAGCCAGCGCTGCATCAGCTGCAGTTGGCATCGCCGGTGTTTCCCGGCCCAGGCCTGCCCTGAGAGACCGCGTGGCTCATGCGCTTGGAATTTGCTCGCCCAAAGATTCACTCGGAGACTTGGCTTCCGCAGATGATTTTGAAAAGGAGAAAGAACTTGGATTAGAGGTTCTGTTTGACCCAGCCATCCCCCTGCTGGGTATCTTTCCAAAAGAATTAAAAGAATCGTATCACAGTGATGTATGTGTACCCATGTTTATAGCGGCACAGTTTGTAACAGCTAGAACTTGGAAACGGCCCATTTGCCCTTCAGCTGAAGACTGGATAAAGAAGATGTGGTTTTTCTATAAAATGGAATACTACTCAGCCACAAAGAATGAGAAATCAGAGTCATTCGTAGGAAAATGGATACATATTGAGGATACACCCCTAAGTGAAATGAATAAGTCACACATGTGTAAATACCAAATAGCTTCTCTGGTGTGAAAAACTATAATAGTACACAAGATCCTAATGGGATAATTGACAATGTGAAATAGGAAGAAAAGGGCTAAAGGTGCAGGAAGTGGGAAGGGCAGGGGAAAGGAAATAAGGGAAAAGAAAAGAACATGAGAAAATGGAAATAAAGTATTTGTAAATAGGGAAGGGAGGAAGGGGTGAAGGGAAGACAGGGGTATGGGGAAAAAAATGAGAACCAAGACCTGTCATGTAAAGGTACAAGATCCCAATGATGAATGTAACTGTACTGTATACCTAAAATGTACCAATAAACTCAATGAGAGGGAAAAAAAAAGGAGAAAGAAAGCCAGGCATGGTAGCGCGCTCCTGTAATCCTAGCACTCGGGAGGCTGAGGCAGGAGGATCACTGTGAGTTCAAGACCAGCCTGGGCTACATAGTGAGTTCCAGGTCATTCTCAACTACTCAACTACATAGTGAGACGTTGTCTCAAAAAACCAAGAAAAAAAAAAGCCGGGCGTGGTGGCACATGCCTGTAATCCCAGCACTTGGGAGGCTGAGGCAGGAGGATCGCTGTGTGTTCAAGACCAGCCTGGGTTACATAGTGAGTTCCAGGTCAGTTCTCAACTACATAATGAGACCCTGTCTCAAAAAAGCCAAACAAAATAAAAACAAGACAAAAAAAAAAAAAAAAAAAAAAGGAGAAAGAAAGAACAGAAAAGCCTCCAAACCTCGGGTGAAGGGTGCACCCCGAAGCTCCCTGGAGAGGCTGGGGTGCAGGCTGGGGGGAAAGAGATGCTTCCTCAGCTCTGGAGGACCAGAGTCCCGAGTGGAGACCAGAATCAGCCACTCGAAAGGCCAGTTTCAGATTCGGCCCTCTGCCCAGGGACAGTGCTCAGACCGACCCACCTGAGGACATCGTAGCCCGCTGACTGTTGCCCTTGACTGCTGTGTCCTCCAGCTTTTATTTATGGCTCGGTTTCCATGGCCAGCACCGGGAATATAACGTGTGCCCTCTTCTCCCCGGCGATATGGAAAAACTCACCCAACCGCAGAACCAGCCAAGACAGCAACTGGGTCGTTCCCTTTCACCCTGGAGGCCTGAGCAAGAGTCTCCATCCTGAGTCCCTCGACTCCTGGCCGGTGCCTCAGTAGATCCAGCCCCCCCCCATGGTATTAGCGGGGGAAAAATACCTCTGCCGTTTTCACTCACCTCCAACCAAAGGGCAGAGCTTCTTCTCCCAGGAATGTGGATCACAAATCGCTCCAGTGTGAGCGGCACGTGTGACTTAGGCACCCATGCAAGTCACAGACACTTCGCGTCTTGCAACTTACTGGGAGGAGAGAAAAAAACAAAACTCGCTAGTTACTGTTTCTCAAATGTGGTTGTTAATATTTTAATATGTGTTAATCCAGTGTGCTTTATCTCAAGCGTTGCAAAGTGTAGCTCTGGAAGGGAGACTACGGGCCCACCGAACTGCCCAGGGGTCCGTGTTCCAGGGAATAGGAGGCAGGGCTCCGAGGAGGTGGCAGCCCGTTGGGGGAATGAGACAAACACATGCATCCGTGTGAGATGCCGTCTTCAAAGTGAAAGGAAAAGCCAGGCGCCATGGTGCACACTTGTGAGCCCAGCTGGAGGCTGAGGGACCGGGATCGGCAGACTGAGCGACTTAGGGAGGCCCCATCTCAAAAAAACAAGATGCAAAGGGCTGAGGATGTAGCTTAGTGGCAGAGCACTTGCCCTGGGTTCTGTTATCAGTACCACAAAAACATAAAAAAAAAAAAACAAAAGTGAAAGGAAAGGAGGAACAGTAAGCCTTTTGAGGGCAAGTGATTGCTTAAAAAAAAAAAGTCATGTACGTTTGCAATGCAAAATAATCGCATTTGCTGTGGTGAAAAGGTTGCATTTCTGTTTACTTTTTGTTCTAACGTGCATCGTGTCCAAACAGTGGCAATGATCAATAATGGCAGATTGCCAGTAAACAGTATCCAGCATACAAAGTCAACCATTTCAACTCCCACTTCCAGACCCTTATGAGCTGGGTGATCTTGGGCAAGTGAGAGTTACCTCTGTGCATGCGTGCCTCGATTTCCCCATCTTGGAAGCAGGCATCACAGAACCTTTTTCCCAAGGTGGCGGACGCAAAGCAAATGAGATGTAAATAGTGTTGCAGGGGGTGGGGGGTTCCCATCAGGGGATGGCTGTGCAGAGGATTTTCCCGAAGACCAGAGGCGGTTTTCCAGTTCTGTGGAAAGCGGGCGGATGGAGTGGGATTTTTGTTATTATTATCAAAAATTAGGTTGGAGAGGAAATTGCTTTTCTTTCTTTCCTTCCTTTTTTTTCCTCCTTTCCTTCCTTCCTTCCTTTTTTCCTTCCTTCTGCCCCCCCCCTTCTTTCTGGCCTGCGCGTTACCATTGCGCTGCACTCCCGGTTCCACAAATCACGCTTTGGAGACTTGTCGTAGACGCTGCTGCAGGTTTACGTTTCGCTGAGGTGTCCGGAATTCCACGTCTGGGCTGCCCTGTGGCCCCACTGACCGTCCTCCCTGGAGCTGTGAAAGGGGCATGGGTGTGTTTATCTCCCATGTTCCTGGCTTGCTCTGGGAGCGCTTACATTTCCAAGATGTGCTGTGGGCCCTGGGCTTCCTCCCCAGGAACCAACCCTCAGCGCCTGCCCTACAGATCCCAGCCTGGAGTGGGGACAGTCACGCTGCTGCAGGGCCATCCGCTGGAGTGGGTCTGTATGTCCCTCACGTGCCCCCTGGCAGCCCAATGCCGCCTTCACCGAGAGCATCGTCTTGCTCCATTGTCCCAGGGAGGGGCGGCGGCAGAGCTGGGCCGGGGGATTCCATGCTCTGTCCCTGTCCCTTGGCCTCCTGCCCTGGCATATGAGGAGGTGGGACATCACCTGCCTTACCTTGCCAGATACGGCTGCGCTGCCCGCCCCCAGGTCTCCTCCCCACCAGTCTGAGACCTGGAACAGACCTTAAAGGTCTGCAGCCAACTGAGTTTAATTAAGCTGCAGTCCCAGCCAGCAGCATTTTCCTGAGAAAGCAGGGCAACTCCTGGAAGCCCCCAATACTCCGTGCAGCCCATTTCCTGAGCTTCAGACCACTGTCATCAAAGTGCCCAGAGGGCAGCTGGCCTTGATGATGGGTGGGGTGACAGCAGGTTTTCTAGGAAGCCATCGTCACTGCCTCTTGGCTAAATGAGGCGCAGCAACTCTCCCTTACGCTGCACTGGCTCTTGTTCCCCAAAGCTGCAGTTGGTGGACCTTTGTCTTTTCAATTTGGCTTCTTAGATGGCCCCAGAGGCCATCATCTTGGACAGCCCCATTCTTACCGGCTTGAGATCGGGCAGCACCAGGGTCTGGAGCCAAACGTCCATTGGATTACTGCACTAAGTAGGGCAAAGTGGCGGCTGAGGAATACTGCAGCCTCAAACATTTGTTTCAGTCATTCATCCTGCGATTATTGAGCCCCTACATGTGCTGGGGTCTGGGGATCTAATGGTGAAGAAGACAACGTGCTTTCTACCTTTGTGGATCTCTATATGGTCAAGGGAGGGCTAGATAATAAATACATAAGCAAATAAAGACATAAAACAGTTACAGATTGTTGTAAGTGCTAAAAAGAAACAGATGGCTGGAGAATAGTGGAGGGATATTCTTAGATAGTTAAAGAAGAGCTCTCTGAGAAATGACATTCAAGCTGAGAGCTCAAGGATGAGACAGAGCCAGCCGTGGGGAGGTGCAGGGGGAGAGCGTTCCAAGGCAGCAGGAGCAGCAAGTGCAAAGGCCCGGGGGTGGGGGAAGCTTGGCAAGAGTGAGGCATGGAGGAAAAAAGTCAGGGTTGCTGGAGTATAATGAACAAGAAACACAGTGGCCAGAGATAGGAGAAAGAGAAAGACAAGGACAGTTTGCTAGGCGGTGGAGAGCCCTGTAAAAGTTTGGATGTTCCTCAAGGGGAATGGAAAGGGAGACTGAAATTTACAAGGCTCCGCCCGTGGATTTATTGGATGGATGGATGGGAAATATGCTTCCATTTGGAAGCCTAGGCATCAAGGTCATCAGCAGCAACTGCTTTATGGTATTAGCTCCTTAGCCCGAGCACTGTGCTTGGCCCTTTTCGCATAGATGACTATGAACAAGCCCTAAAGAAACGGTTATGGGAAGGAGTCAGGCTCAGGGGGAGCCAGCCTGCCGGCAAGCAGGTAAGTTGTGAACTATGGTACCCACGGAACGCAGCACGGAATTGTGTGAAACGGCTCCCTGGCCTTGTGCAATCAATCGGAGGTCCTGGCCTAGCTTGAGACTCACTGCCTGTGTGGCCAGGGACAAGCTGTGTGTGTCCCTCGGTCTCCATTTCAGGGCATCTCAGCGAAGACAGCGCTTCCCTGGCCCCTCAGCATTGCTGAGAACCTCCAAAGAAGGGCCCATAACTAGGACCCTAGGATGAGCTTCGGGATCCGTGTGTGCCCCGGAATCGCACGAAAAGCGTGCGTGTTCACCTACAGAAGTAAGTAAAGTTTTGCAAAAGACAGGTCCCACAGCCGCGCTGTAATTTCTCGAAGGGATCCACGAGCCACCCCATCTTAAACGGTCTTAGGCACTTGGCGGCTGGATCTGCTATCCGCTCTTGAATTGCTCTCTGGCTTCTGAGATCTACTTGCTTGCTGGCATCTTGCTTCCTCCCCTGGGTCCGGGAGCCGCTTAGTGGCAGGGACTCGTCTGCATTGGCACCGACGCCACCGATACCGGGCTCTTCGGGACCGGCCCAGCAGTGACGCAGCAGCCCAGGGCCAAGTCTGCCCACCATACAAAGCGGAGGCCCCCGAGCCCCAAAATGCTGTACCTAGGGCCGAAAGTGGGTAAAACGAGCTGCTCAGTGGGTGCTGCCTGCAAACCGGGGATCGCCTTGTTCCTCCCAGGTAAGAAGCTGCCCCATTCCCTCAGGTGCAGGAGGTGCAGCTGCCACTGGGAATTCGGGCACCACGCCGGGCCGATGAGGTTTCTGCTTGTGGTTTCCGAGGGCTTTTAACTCCCTCTCCCCGCGGGAGGACGGCCCAGGGTGGTTCCCGGCACGTGTGCTCATCCTGCCCCAGCGCTGCACGGGGCGCATTACAGACACTTAACGAAAGCGATGAACACATAGCGGTCACTTCCAGCCTGCTTGCTGCTTGCCTCTCTGGAGCTCATTCCCAATGGTTCTCCCACCTCTTCCTGAGGAGCCACAGACTTAATGGGACTTTGGGTGGGTGCTGAATCTTTCTTCTCGAGACCTTGAACACTTGGCTCTAATAATCTCTTCATCGCCATCTCTGAGTTAGATGAAAAAGGGGACGTTGCAGGGTGTGGTGATGCACGCCTGTAATCCCAGCACTCAGGAGGCTGAGGCAGGAGGATCACTGTGAGTTCGAGACCAGCCTGGGCTCCATAGTGAGTTCCAGGTCAGTCTCAACTACATAGTGAGATGCTGTCTCAAAAAACAAAAAAAAAGTGGGGCGGGGGTGGGCAGTAGGGGACCCCACCCACTCCTCCAGCCCCTCCCCACCAACTTGGTGCTATCTCAAGGACAAGACAGTCCTAGCTCAGATGTGCAATCCAAGGCAGGTGGGCCTGCCCACCGGGATCTGTTGCCTCAGATACTTGTTGGTGAACTTGATCTGTCCCAAGACCACTGAAATTGTTTTTTTGCTTGAAGGCGAAGCAGATCTTTCTAATTCTGCTAATGTTCTCATGGCCCTGCAGTTCTTGAGGTGTGAGAAAATCCCCCGGGCTTGGGAGATACCCACAGGGAACAGCAGAGTTCTCTGGGAATGCGCTGGGAACTTGCCGGCCACCCAGAAGCACAAGAAGCTCAAGGGAAGTCCTGGCAGCAGCTCTCCCCAGAAGGTGTGCGTTAGGGTGAGGTGGGCTTGGATCTGAACAGCAGGCTTGGAGTCGTCCACCTGCCTAGGCTCCCAGAACCAAACCCAGGACAGAGAGCGGCTACGGCAGGGTGGGGAAAGGGCACGGCGGGGGTTACCACGTGGCCCCCGATGGTCCCAAATAGCTGACTAATCTGTGGAGAAAGTGAGCCGGGACTTTCTGGCGGCCTCATGGGCTTCATGGGTTTAACATCAGTCACTCTGTGCGTCTCATTAGGGGGCCGGAGCACAGAGCAGAAACACAGACAGAAGCGCTCTGAGACAGTATCAGACACTGTCAGGGACACTGCTGCAAACTGGGCGGGGAGGCTGGTTGTGGGCTGCTCTCTGAGGAAGACCTGCAGGGTTGGAGAGCCAGAGGGGAACTCAGTTGGAGCTCTGCGGGTCTGTCATATCCCAGAGTGCCAGAAGCCAGCCTGGGGGAGCGAGAATCCACCCCCTGAAAGGCAGCCCCTCAAGTCCTGCAACCTCTGATTTGAAGTCTGATTTGTAGAAGGGATCTTTGTAGAGGTGACTGTTTACTTTTGATGGGACTGAGAATTGAAGCCAGGGCCTTCACATAGAGCTACGTCCCCAGCCCTTTTTAAAATTCTGAAACAAGGTCTTGCTAAATTGCCCAGGTTTGAGGCTGTAACCTTCCTGCCTCAGCCTCCCCAGAGTGCTGAGAATGCAAGTTTGCAAGATGACCCAGGTAGCACATACTAAACACAGGAGCACACATGGGGACAGCCTCTCCAGGTGACACAGGAACGTTCGTCCTGGGAGACATTGAAACAAGTCCAAACTTCCAACTGTTCAGAAAGGAAACCTGCATCCAGCTGTGGTGGTGGTGTATGCCCATAATCCTAGGACTCTGGGAAGCTGAGGCAGGAGGATCAGGAGTTTCAGTTTAGCCTGGGCAACTTAGCCCAGTGAACCTGTCTCAAAAAGGGTCGGGGGTAGGGATGTAGTCCAGTGCAAAGACCAGAGGTCCAATCCCCAGGGCTGAAGAGAGAGACAGAGTATGTGTGCTTGGTGGGGGACCTTGTCTGGCTCCAAAGAAGGGTGCACACAGCTCCATCCTGTGTGCCCCAGGCTCTGGGTGGTGGTGGTAGGAGCAAGAATCCCAGCCCCCTGCTCAGGGGCAGAGCTGACACTCACTGGATCATGCTGATTTTCTGTCTCTCCCACAGCCCTGTGGGTCAAGGGGACCCTGGTACATGGGAATAGACCTCCAGGTGCTGGGCCCAGCCCAGATGTGTTCAGGCTGTCAACATTCCCGTTGTACTGAGAGTCACTTATTTGAGGATCATGGGCTGTTCTTCAACAGTGAGAGAATGAGGGGCTAGCTTTGAACCTGTGTGATCCAGCTACTTCTCCCTTCAGGAAGTCATCCTGAAATTGCCATTTCCAGCACAGCAAGAGGGCAAAGCTGGGACCCATCTGCCCATTGGCCCTTCCTTATGTGATCCTCCTGCCTCAGCCTCCTGGAGTGCAAGGATTATACTTTGTGGATTTGTGCCACTTTGCCCAGCTTAAATTAAGGATCTTGAGTTGAGGCCATCTTCCTGAATCACCCTAAATGCAAGGGCTTCAGAGGCCCCCCCCAACACGTCCCTCCAATGACACTGAGGAATGTGCAGACAGTGCAGGGACTCAGACCAGCATGCAGAAGGCTCAGGTCCACCCTGTGAGTCTGCCAAACATCAACAGCAAGCACTGGCCATGTGGTGCTGAAAATCCAGGGCTGAGGTGGGGCCAGACCCGGGGGTGGTTCCACTGGGCCTGCGGCCCCTGACCCTGGTGCCAGTGGGGGTCCATGTAGGGTAGGACGATTACTGGGCCAGCCCATGGACATGTCAGGATGTGGGTGCAGGTGCCATACAAGGAGTAGGGTCCAGTTCTCCTTCTCACACTTTATCTCTGAAGCTGCCTGCTCAACAGCACTGGGATTATTACTGGGAGGTGGAAAAGGATGTCAGAACCTTCAAAGGACAAAAGTCCCCAGCCATTCCAGAAACGAAAACTAGAAGGCACTATCTTGCAGTACTTAACTGTTCCATTCTATGAATATTTTTACAGACCTACTATGTGTTGATGATTTACGAGCATGGGATGAGTCACGAGTAGTCTCTTACAGTTAACTGAGCACCTACTATGTGCCGGGTCCCTCATTAAAATGATGCCAAATAACCGATGCTATCTCAACTTTCAGAGGGCCCATGCTATGCCAAGGATGGTCAATATTCCTGCAGATAATAACAGTATAGCAATGCAGGTTGACCCTTGCTATACATCAAGCATGGGCTGGGTGTTTTGGGAGCATAATGTAGTTCAATTCTCAGCAGCTTCTGAGCACTGAATACTATCAGGGTCTACAGCATCCAAACAGGAAACAGAGTAGGTCCTCCCTCCTCCCACAACCAAGTGGCAAAGGAGGACCTTGAACTTGCCCAGAATCCAGGATGCACACGTTTAATTAGCTGCCCGCTCATTCTGGAAACAACTCTGTAAACAGCTGTTCTCACCCCATTTTGTAAACTGAGGCCAGCACCTGAGAGAGAGGTTTTCCTGTGACTGCTACGCAGGCTGGGAACAGGGCAAGGTCCCACCTCTGCTAAAGAAGTAAAAGGGACACTAAAACCCCTTCAGTGACCATGGGAAGTGGTATTCAGGCAGGCTTTTCAAACTCAAGAACATCCACAATGAACAGAAACATCAACATTTTAAAGGAAGACCAGGTCCCACCTTAAACACAATCATCCTAATCTGTCTTGTCTTCATTTATTTTTCACAATTAATTCACTATGGATATTTTTGGCCTTAATTTTCAATTCTTAAAAATACTGTATTCTCACAGGGCATATGGCACACTCTGTAAGCTCAGCAATCTGGGGGGCTGAGGCAGGGGAACACAAGTTCGGGCCCATCCCTGGCAGTTTAGGGTCTTAGCGAGACCCCCGGCCCCCCAAGTTAGTGATGGAACCTAAGGCCTTGCACATTTATCTTCATTATAGAAATCTGGGGCTCACACCCTTTAATTTTGCACTTTTAAATGCCTCAGCTGCATCCCCTAGTCCGTGGGTCGCGGGTTGTTTCATCCCCCAACAGCCCTGAGAAGCAAGTGTATCATCCACGGGCGCGGTTGGCGTTTCCCAGACTAGGGCCCTGCGGGCTCAGAGAGGCCCAGGACTTGGCTTCAGATCACACAGCGGTGGGGGAACTGGAAGCCCAGCCATGCTTCCTGGAGGTGGGGTGCGGTGGAGTGGGTTGGGCATCACGGGTGAGAAGAGCCCAGCCTGGCAGCGCTCGAGATTCCTGCAGGGTGGGGGTGGGGGTCCTGGTGACCGGGCCCCCCACCCCTTAGATCCCAGCTTTCCACCTACCATCGTTCCCCGATCCTCGGTCCGGTGACCGGGGCTCTCCCAGGCCTGGGACCCCTCAAACCCCAGCCGAGGCTGCACGGAGCGCGGT